TCTGCACTTCTTTTTTTGTAAGTTAAGGTATAGTACTTACATTGACCCATGGATACATCAACCGAAGGGTTTTTTTAAAATATATAATAATTTTTATTATAATTTTTGAATGGGCAAATTTACATAAAATAGGGGTAAAACAAATTTTTTGACCCAAGTTTTTTGAGACTTTTAAAATCACAATTTCTAGACTTCTATATGAGTATATACCACATTTCAAAGTTGGGTATCCTTTGCTAAATCTGAGAAAGATTAATTTAGGGTGCAGGGCAAGATATATCAATTGGTATATAAACCTTTATCTTCTACCAGAGGAGAATGGCTTGGAGCCACTAAAGCAGTGACACCCAAACTCTTGTTCTCCAAGTGTTTAGGACTTCATCTCCCAGGAACCTCATCCATTTGGCAAGGGAGCTGAAGTTCAAAACCCCCAAAAGACCAGAGTTTGGGAAACGCTGCACTAGAGGAATAGCTGGAAGAACCTAAGGTAATTACCCCCTTCTTCCTAATGTTAGGGCCTTTCCAAACAGCATTAACTTCATGCAAAAGAGTTAGTGATGCAGCATGCAAAATGTGATGGAATTCCACAGGCCTCGACATGCAAGGCAATAACATTTTTGTCCCTTTGGCTAAGGTAACTCTGCCGTGTAAGTAGAAAGGTTCATCTGAGGTCTTTTTACCTCTTCCTCACTGGCAATTGGACTTTTAGTGATGTTCCTGATACTGTAGCATTCTGTTTTCATTGTCATTGCCCTCAGTAACATTTTCCCCTTGTATACTCCTAAAACAATAAGTCTTAGGACCGAGCCATCAGAATGTGGTACCAAGTGGAAGCCTGTGTGCTATTAATGAGAGAAACTGGAATCTTAAATGGCTCAAGTACCTTGGGACCAGTGAAGTAAAAAGCCATTTTCTCCTCCATTAATTGGCTCATTGGAGTCTGTTTATGGCATCTCTAAACAGGGATGTGTTTTGCCTGCATAACAAGATTATATTAAAGAGCAGGAAAAGGCGTCTAATGTCATGAGGTATTCCTGATACTTAAGGAATCATATAATCAGAAATAACCACAAAGGCCATCCAGTCCAACCCCATTCTGTTATGGAGGAATACACAATCAAAGCACTCCAGAAAGATGGCCATCTAATCTCTGTTTAAAAATTTCCAGTGAAGGAGATTCTACCACACTCCAAGGCAGCATATTCCTTGTCCAATAGCAGTTATCTTCAGAGGTCTCGCTGGAATCTCTCAAGGAAGCTGGCCTTCTGAGGTGGCACTGGAGCTTTCTCCTCTGTATAGAACAACCCTTGATTTATTCATGGTACCAAAATCTATCTCACTGGAATCTCAAAGGAAGCTGGCCTTCTGAGGTGGCACTGGAGCTTTCTCCTCTGTATAGAACAATCCTTGATTTATTCATGGGACCAAAATCCATCTCACTGGAATCTCAAAGGAAGCTGGCCTTCTAAGGTGGCACTGGAGCTTTCTCCTCTGTATAGAATAACCCTTGATTTATTCATGGTACCAAAATCCATCGCACTGGAATCTCAAAGGAAGCTGGCCTTCTGAGGTGGCACTGGAGCTTTCTCCTCTGTATAGAACAATCCTTGATTTATTCATGGTACCAAAATCCATCTCACTGGAATCTCAAAGGAAGCTGGCCTTCTGAGGTGGCACTGGAGCTTTCTCCTCTGTATAGAATAACCCTTGATTTATTCATGGTACCAAAATCCATAATTTTGGTTCCAAAACCTAACCTTGACTGATGCATGAGGTCGACTTATAAACAAGGATATACAGTAAAGTCACAAGTATTTACAGTAAGGGACAGGGGTTTAGCACAGCTGATAAGTCACCAGCAATTATAAGATCTAAAGGTTGCAAGTTTGAAGTCCTGGGTCTGCGTAAGCTATTGACTGTCAGCCTAGCTTAATGTTTACCTAAGCAGTTTAAAAAAGAGCTTTAGTTGAAATTAGAGATATTAGGTACCGTTTAAAGTGGAGGAGGTGTTTAGCAACACCAGAAAAGAAAGAAGATTAGAAAATGCTGGGTGACCAAAATGAAGGAGGGAAGTCCTGATGGCTCTTCGTCACAGAAGATGGAGCGACAGCACCCCCTGTGGCTGGATTCAAGCCCAATCTTCCATGGCACCAAAAAAGCTGGACATTGAGTCAAAACAACAACATGTCTCCTTTTGTTCTGTCTGTATTGTCTATACAAAATGGCATTGAATGTTTGCCGTGTATGTGTACTGTGATCTGCCCTGAGTGCCCTGCAGGGTGAGAAGGGCAGAATATAAATAAAGTGTTGTTGCTGTTGTTGTTGTTATTACTTGAAACACAACAAGATGAGTCCACAGCAGACAACATCACTCTGCTGGCTGTTGTATTGGATCACACGTCGGACACTTCCCAAGTGTCTAGGACTGTGTGATGTATCAGCGAATAATGTGTGCAGATCCCAGTAAGGTGGCCTTCTGCAGCTGGCAGATGGTAATTTTGTCAGCGCCGATTGTGTTTAAGTGCAGGCCAAGGTCTTTAGGCACTGCACCCAGTGTGCCGATCACCATTGGGATCACCTTTACTGGCTTATGCCAGAGTCTTTGTGGTGTTGTTGTTGTTGTTGTTGTTGTTGTTATTATTATTATTATTATTACTTTCTGATGTTCAGCCTGGCATATATATATGTTGGCTGAACATGTACATAGTTGTTCATAAAATCAGCTCTTTATCCTGTTAAAATAATCCATGCTCTTCTCTATCCCTGCTCTCAATAACAACATCTTGCAGGAGCTTTCTGAAAACCTCACCCTCTGCCAATCCCTATACGGTTGGCTGCTCTGCTGTTGTGAATTGGATCAAATCCAAAGTGAATATGCTAACATGCCACTTCCTTTGAAAAGCATTAGTGGTGATTCTGACACACGGCGAAGTTATTGTTTCATCTATAATTGTAATGTAGCATACTCTTCTTTGTCATCTTGTCATATTCCACTGTTGCAGGCTGTCTCCAGGGTCTAACTAAAACACACTAATAAGTGTCGGGTAGAATCGTGACCTTCTTTTTGGCATGTTCTTGGATCATTTCTAAAAACAGAAGTTGTGAGGAGTCACAGCTGGGAATCTGTCATAATATGAATTATTCGTAACGCTTCTGTCTAATAGTTTTGCAGATGATAGTTCTAACTTCTGGCCAATTTTTGCACTAAACTTTCTGCTATTGGAAACATTAAAGTCAGAACTAGAATGTTCTAGATCAGTGGTGGTGACAATTTGGCTTATGGGACACATGTGTTCTCCCATAAAATTCCTTCTGGGGAAAGGGGTTGGCTCCCTGGCTCATCAAGCCATTTTAGATCCAAGAATCAGGTTTTATTTCTTCTTTTTTTCATGCCAGGAGCAACTTGAGAAAATTCAAGTTGTCGAAGGCTTTCATGGCTGGAATCACTGGGTTGTTGTAGGTTTTTTTGGGCTATATGGCCATGTTCTAAAGGCATTCTCTCCTGACATTTCGTCTGCATCTATGGCAAGCATCCTCAGAGGTAGTGAGGTCTGTTGGAACTAGGAAAAAGGGTTTATATATATGTGGAATGACCAGGGTGGGACAAAGGACTCTTGTCTGCTGGAGCTAGGTGTGAATGTTTCAACTGACTACCTTGATTAGCATATAATGACCCGACAGTGACTGGAGCAAACTTTTGTTGAGAGGTGATTAGATGACCTTGTTTGTTTCCTCTCTGTTGTTGTGCTGATATCTATGTGGACAATGGCAATGATGACAATGGCTATGGCAATGGACTATGGATAAGTTCAATGGATTCTCTAACCAAAAAAATTGGCTAGATAACGGCCACCATACTTGTATTTGTTAGTAGTTTTTAATTGTATTGATTTAATGTTTTGAACTATATATAATTATTGCTTTTGTTATGTATTTTATTATGTGTACATAGAGGCATCAAATTGTTGCTGGCTGGAAGCTGCCCTGAGTCCCCCCCCAGGGGGTTGAGAAGGGCAGCGTAAAAATATTCTAAATAAATAAATAAATAAGATATGGTTTTGCCGTTTCCATTCTTTGAAATATAGCCTGTAGCACTGGCATTGGGTGGAGGTCTCTCATTTTGTTATACTGAATCAGAGCACTAGATTTATTGGTCGAATTTTGAACCACAACGATTATATCATGAGAGCTTTGGATTTATGATCAGTCCACCATCTTTAGGTGCTCCATAAACCAATCTTCATATAACATGCTTGGCTATGCAGTGGAAGTTGTGTTATATTGAGCCATCCCATTGGCTCACTTAGAGTAGTATTAGCATTTTTGATGGGATGTGTCTCTCTAGAATAAATTTTGGTCCTCCAGGTGTTTTGGACTTCAACTTCCACAATTCCTAACAGCCAGGAGAGCTGGAGAGCTGAAGTTTGCCTTTGGCTGCTCTAGAGTTTTAGGCATGGTGCTTCCCCTAACTTTAGATCCCTAGCATTTCCTAGTGATCTCCCATCCAAACACCAATGAGACCTGACCTTGCAGTCACTATCGGGTATGTTCAGCGTGACAAGATCCATAATCAATCTATTTTTTGAGGTTACCATCCATGTAGGATGTGAATGTTCACCTGTACAATAACACTATGTTTACTTTTTTTCACCTTGATCATGCATGGACATGTTCATCCACATTTTGAAAACAAGTGGTGCAGGCTCCTCCTTTGGAGACTTTGAAACAGAGGTTGGATGGCCATCTGTCAGGGGTGCTTTGAATGTGATTTTCCTGCTTCTTGCAGGGGATTTGACTGGATGGCCCATGAGGTCTCTTCCAACTATATGATTCTATGATTCTAAGTATCCTTGCCCTCAAGACAGGGCAAAAACAACAGAAGAAAGCTTTTTCTCCACCAGTCAAGTTCACTTCAATCAGTCACCTCCTTTTTACAATGAATGGCCAGACACTGAAATTACAATAGCAGCATCAGCTACAGCTAAAGGTTATACAAATACCTGGTGTCAGCAAGATAACGGAGGTGACAATCAAGGAGCAAATAACCAGAATAACAAGTAACGCGATTGCGATTCCTTTCCAGTTCCTTTGCGGAGGATTGCTTCCCACCAGCTCCTGGAAAACAGCAAAAAGAAAAGGGATATTAAGCAAAGGCAAGGGACAGCAGCCAAATCTGAGCAACAATTAGCACAAGAAGAGCTATAGTTTAAATGGTACAGGTCCTGACTATTTGAAAAACCACATCTCCACATACAGACCAGTACAAGCACTGCAGTCTGTGAAGGAGCCCTGCTCTCAGTCCCACCCCCGTCTCAAGCACAGTCGGTGGGAACAAGAGAGGGAGCCTTTTTTGTGATCACTCCCTATTTCTGAAACATCCTCCCTAAATAATTAAAAATGGCCTCCTCTCTCCTCTTCTTTAAAAAGCTTTTAAAACCAATCTATACACTTTAGTTTATGGAGGAACCCCCGGTGGCGCAATGGGTTAAATCATTGTGTCGGCTGAACTGCTGACTGAAAGCTTGGCAGTTTGAATTCAGGGGGGAAGGTGAGCTCCCGTCTGTCAGCTCCAGCTTCCCATGCAGGGACATGAGAGAAGCCTCCCATAGGATGCTAACACATCCAGGCATCCTCTGGGCAACATCTTTGCAGACAATGAATTCTCTCACACCAGAAGCGACTTGCAGTTCCTCAAGTCGCTCCTGACATGAAACAGAAGCTTATGGAGAGGAGGACTAATGACATCTTATATGTACCCCTGTCTAGTTGTTGGATACCATCTTAGTTTCAATATTTTTAGTCGAATTTTAAAGAATTTTAAATAACTTATTATGTTGTAAATGTGTGTGATGTATTATGTCATGCTGATTTAAGTTATTATTTTTATAATTTTTGTCAAGCTTGTTTTTTGACTTGTTATGTGTTATTTTTGGCACTGAATGTTTTCCACTGTGTTTTATTTTGTCAGAAGCCACTCTGAGTCCCCTTGGGGAGATAAGGAGGATTATTAATAAAGCATTATTATTATTTTACTGACACAAAAACATAGTATGTCACAGCAAACGAGATCTCTATATGCTGGATTTCGTATCACAAAATCACAAGTCGAGCACTTCCCAAGCGTCTAGGACTGTGTGATGTATTTTTGAATGATGCGTGCAGATCCAAGTAAGGTGGCCTTTTGCAGTTGACAGATCTTGATTTTGTCAATGTTTATTTTTTTACAAATGCCGGCTGAGATCTTTTAGCATGGCGCCCAGTGTGCCAATGACCACTGGGACCGCCTGTATTGGTTTAAACCAGAGCCTTATTATTATTATTATTATTATTATTATTATTATTATTATTATTATTATTATTATTATTATAGCACAGCTGCAATAGCTTTCCTAGTTGCAGATGCAGTAAAGAGAAAGATAGAACAGGATCGATAATTTCATTCAAAACTGCTTAACAATAGCTACCTTTTGAAATGATAGTTCCTGAAATATAGGAGACCTTGGATCGCCTGAAACAAGCTTTTGTTCAAGAGAAATTCATTTCTGGCACAAAAAATACATTTCTGGGCTCAGGGACGCTTCATCTGTAACTCTTAAGTGCATGTCTTTTGCACCTGGCTCTGGTTGGTGGATTTAGCAGTTCTAATTAAAAAATGAAAAAGATTTAACCCAAAGCCAGCTCACCTCTACCCTATGTGATTAGGAGAACCAAAACAGCATGGAACTGCCTGAGGAATGGAGCAATGGTGATAAATTGACTGTTAAAACACAGGCTGTAGAGGTCTCTTCTTGCCATCGGCAACTTTGATATCAGAGAGGAACCAAGACAAGGTGCTTAAGGAAGTTGGAAGACTAAAAATCTCAGCATCCTCCAGCTAGCATGACCAAAGGAGGGATGGTTCACAGACATGAAGGGGAAGACATGAAAGCCAAAGGGAAAGTAGGACAAAAGAAAGAGGCTTTTCAAGTCGTTTCAGGCTGTGAATTGAGCTGAAATCCCACCCAGTAATTCCCAGAGAGACCAGGTTATTTCAGAATATAACATCCAAGTCTAACAGCTATGTGTCTATAAATGTTTACAGAGGAAATGTCTATTGCTGGAGAGCCTTTGAACAACTACTAAACATATCAAGCGATATCCTCATACATTTATCGAAGGAGCTGGTGATATCTGTAACAAACCTCTGACTTGAGCAGACTTATCAAGAAAACTTTACAACAGTTTTTCTCAACCTTCCAAATGCCGTGACCCCTTAATACAGTTTCCCATGTTGTGGTGACCCTCAACCATAAAATTATTTTCATTGTCACTTCATAACTGTAATTTTGCTAAAGTTATGAATCGTAATATAAATATCTGATCTGCAAGATGTATTTTCATTCACTGGATCAAATTGGACACAAATACCCAATACGCCCAAATTTGAATATTGACTGGGTTGTGTGTGCGTGTGTGTGTGTGGGGGGGGGGGGGGGGGGGGGGGGGGGGGGTTGATCTTGTCATTTGAGAGTTGTAGTTGCTGGGAGTTAACTTACAATCAAAGAGCATTCTGAACTCCAATGATGGAATTGAATCAAACTTAGCACACAGAACTCCCACAACCAACAGAAAATACTGGAAGGGTTTGGTGAGCATTGACCTTGAGTTTGGGAGCTGTAGTTCACCTACATCAAGCGAGCACTGTGGACTCAAACAATGATGGATGTGGACCAAACTTCGTCACAAATATTTAATATGTTCAAATGTGAATATTGATGGAGTTTGTGGAAAACAGACCTTGACATTTGGAAGTTGTCATTGCTGGGATTTATAGTTCACCTACAATCAAAGAGCCACTTGAACCCCACCAATGATAGAATTGGGCCAAACTTCCCACACAGAACCCCCATGCCTTGAAGGTACTTGCTAGTGCAAACCTCTCTCCAGCCTTGTGTGCTCTTCCTCACCCATACATGTGTAACATGCTGGCATGAGCTGAGCACGCCTGCTCTTCCTTCCCTACTTAGAGTCTCAAACAGCCCTACCTTTGTCTGAGAGGATGGCTTACAGACTGGCCAATCACAGCAGAGGAGAGCTTTTGGTGGGGTGATTTGCTATCAGTCTCCAAAAAAGAAGAGAAGGACAGGTGGAGAGATCTTCAGCCTTCTCTGCCGAAGGGATTCATAAGACCATCAGAAATATATGTTTTCTGATGGTCTTTGGTGACCCCTCTGAAACCTCCTCCCAGGTTGAGAAACACTGCTTTACAATATCCCAGAGAAATCCCCCTACTGTGCAGTTTGAAACACATTGCAAAATGGGTCAATATTGGGGAAAGTTGTGTCTTTACTATGAAACATACATTCATAATTTTATAAATCACAGGCATACAGATCTGTCCACTGGATGTACCTTTTCTACTACTGGGGAATGGTTTTTATCACTCTGCCTCCCTTCTGTACTGCACGGTAGCTTAGATTACCTACTGTTCAATGAAGCATCCAGGTTTTGACTAGGTATTCAGGCACAACTTTCTGAAAGAATTGTGAAATATGCAAGAAATCTTAACTCATGGCTCTCTTGTGGAGAGAAATGCTCAACTAAGCTTGCTGTCCTATGAAACCTTTGTGTGTTTTGAAAGCTTGGAGATGCAGGTGAGAGAGAAGTCAATTTTCAGGAATTCTAAAGAATTCATTCTGAATGCTTAGCTTTCAGCTTCAGCAACAACAAGGCATCAACCACAGGTGTCTAATTTATGTCCCGGGATATAAAGAATGATTACATATCAAGATGATATTTAATTTGTTTATTTATTTTAGTATCTTTAAGTTGTTGCTTTCCTACAAATTTTGCATAAAAAGCTATGCTTTTTATGAAAAAAGGGGTTCCTCGCCCCACCTTTCTAAGAAAAATGTTTTCATACATATTACATGTCAATTTTCTCAGAGTTCTCAAATGCAAAAACATCTTCAAAATGCACAAAGGCTCAACCAGCAAGCGGAAAACTTTTGGAATTCTTAGTTCTTTCATCATGTGTGAGTGGTTGCATTTTTATTAGAGATTTTCAAATACAACGGAAAGAATAGAGAGAGAGAGAAAAGATAACACAAAAAGTAAGAAAGGTAGATACATTTAACATCTGGCTTTTCTAACTGTGATTATAGATAAATGTATAAAATTACTTCTCTTACTGTTCAGTTTTACCAAAACCACCATTTATCAAAACCTACTGTTAACATATTATCTCTTTTTTCTGCAAAAAGCCAAGTAAACGTGCCCTGTCTTTGAAAAAATATTGTCAATAGTTTTCCTCTGCTCCATATTGTGAATTTGTCCATTTCAGCAACCAAGAGAAAAGAAGGGAATTAATCAAAGTTGTATTTTCATGACAAAGGTAGGAGACCCTGGTGGCGCAATGAGTTAAATCCTTGTGCCAGCAGGACTGCTGACCAAAAGGTCAGCAGTTCACATCCACAGAGTGGGGTAAGCTCCCATCCATCAGCTCCTGGTTCTCATGTGAGGACATGAGAGAAGGCTCCCACAGGATGGGGCAACATCCTTGCAGATGGCAAATTCTCTCACTCCAGAAGCAATCTGAAGTTTCTCAAGTCACTCCTGACACTAAAAAAAATGGCAAAGGTAGTGAGATTGGATGGCACACTAGACTGGTGCTCTCTTTAGGAAGACTGAGGCAGTTGCCTCAGGTGACAGTTCCTAAGACTTGCGGAGCAGAAATAAATAATTGGTGGTTAAGAGAAATGAATGCCGTTCAGCCCACCCCATGCTTTGCATATGGAGAGAGACACTCTCCTATCCCAAGTGCTGAAGTAAGAGTCAATGACCACATAGAATGCATGAAATAGGCAGAGACACTGTCTGTTTTGTTCTGTGTTTCAGACATCCAAATTTCTCAAGGCTCGCTCGGATAGTAATATAAGGCATTCTTGCAGCAAGGTGATAGAGTCAGGCATCCAGCTACTGCAGTTCAGTCAAGCAAATCCATGGCATAATAGTGTCAGTGGAAAATACACACACACAAACACACACAATATATATATATATGACACAGCAACACTATATTGGATTTGACATGTGCTCCATATACAAAAACATTGTCCACTTCTGACAATGTTGGG